TCTAAATGGTAAGGAAAGTGCTTTCTTTTTGTTTCCAAACAGCGTTTCATTGAACTAATGGCGCGAAAAAGTTGTAAAACTTATTTCAAACTCAATACTCGCCGCCAGTGCTGTGTATTTGAACTGACTTTTGAAACAATACATTGTATGTTAAGTATATGTTATTATTGTTATTAATTTTGATTTATATCATACAAACACTGTTTGCGGTTCAATACAATCATTTGATACATCCGTTTAGTTATTCATTGGACACACCATTGATATAAAAGTGGCTATTTTTCACTTATTTTCCCATCAAATAGTAATGAGATTTTCTTTACTTTTTCTTCATTCAAACTATTAAGAAGTAAGTTATCGTTAACTCTTTTGCCCCATTCAGTGCTTATATGGAAAATTAAGCCATAAATTAAAAGATTATCCAAACGTTTTACAATAAAAAACTTTAATTAATTGCTTGGAATGTGAAATTTATTGGCAATTGTTTGGTAACGAAGATGTGTTTGCAATTTGAGTCCAGTGTTGGACAGAGTATTGAGTCGTGTCTATAGTGTTGTTGAATGTGTAGAGAAGCGCAAAGTTGTGCTCAACTTTTTATTCGGTTAATGATCTTTGAGTTTATGTTTATTAGAAATGCTATTTCAAAATATATATCTTGTCTTCACAGCATTTGTAGCACTCGTTGTCATAAATGGCATAATGTATGCATATCTTATGCATTGATGTGTTTCCCACCACTACTCATACATTTCATTATTAAGATTGCGATTAATGTTTACGTTATTATGTTATGAAATGAATTGTTTTAAGAGAGAGAGAGAGAGAGAGAATTTGAAAAGTATTTGAAGAATTGGTAGAAAAAACGTTGTGAAGTGAAGAGAAGGACAAGTTTAGTGTACTGTTGGAGAGAAGTAATGCCGACATTGGTTTGAGTGGTGTTTCGCCTGAAGTCGGTTCAGTCCCTTTGGCCTTAAGGGCAGACATTCGGCACATTCCTATGAAAAGAGGAAATGTTGGAAATGAACGGACGGATAGGCAATGGTGTGGTGTTTGGAGCAAAACCTGCTGTTTTTATATGTGCCAAACCATCCCATAGTGTTGTGTTTGAGTGCACACTAACTGTGAAGAGCGCACAGCTATTATCCAAAGTCTAATACAAGCACTCATACACACTATGGCATTGCTTTTGCCATACATTTGTGTACAGATAGTAGAGAGAGAGAGAGAGGACTTGGAGTGTAGGCATAGATGAGGCATAACTGATCACAAGCATCACATCACAAGTCATTTGACTCTTCTCTCTCTCTCCCTCTCTTCTATGGCTTAACCAGTCTTTCAGTTCAGTCTTTGCTCTTTTGGAGAAATTCCAAGAGTTAGGAGTTTAGCACACATTACTAAAACGGATGCCTTTTTTAACATCTTCTATACACTGGCGATGTGTGTGCTCTCCCTCTCACACAACACAACCAAATCATATCCAGTATTTGTTTTATATTTTATTTACAAAAATCTTGTTTGCAGTCAAATACCAAAAAAGAAACGCATTTTCACTACATTTCCATTAAATGCACAAAATGTTAATCCAATCCATAGTTTGCCTTAATTTATGGTTTGTTTCAAAAAATATACATTTATTTTTAATTTATGCTTTTTTAAAAGCTTTCAATGAATATATTCTCAGAAATGTTTTGCCATAAAATATCAATTTAAATATTGAATAAGAATTTGTCAATTAATAACTGATACTAACTATAACCAGAAGATTGTTTCAATTGACTTAAGATGAGAGAGTATGTGTGTGTATGGTTGTGCTGGAGGTGGTGGTGTGTTTTGGTGAATAGGCTCGTTGAACCAGTGAACCGGAAGCATCCATCACCAGTGGCGGGAACACAAGGCTGGGGCACATCTGCCAAAAGGCTACTCCTGTCCCGCCATTATCGCTGTCCTCGTGTTTCCAATGCACTCCTCAATGAATATATGAAAATCTGTGCTAAGATTTGCCACTTATTTACTCCACATTTGGTTTTGCTTTTAAATCCTTTATTTCTCTCAAAATGCCTTTACTCTCAACGCCTATTCATTAAATGTTTGCCTTTGTTTTCATTTGAATCTTATTTTCAAATTAGGTTTTGTAGTCATTTTGTCGAAACAATACTGACTTATTTGACATTTTTGTGATAATATTAGTGTTTTATTTACTTTAATACTTGTTAAGTGTTTTGTGTGCCATTTGTGCTTCAAATTAATACATGAATACTGTATTACAAGCGACAACTAATATGTGTTGACATTTGTGTCTCCATTCAGACAAGTGGTGGCCCGAAGTATTCTGGAAACGCTGAACGATGTGGAGCCCAATGATGTCCAAAGAGTTATCGCTGTTATATCGAGGTTGGCTTCAGATAATGGTATGTTGTCTTTGAAATGCATTTAATTGTTTAGTAATTATTATCAACACATTATTTGAGACCGCATTTAATGATGTTTATAGTGTTTGAATGAATTAATGATTTGTTGACATTCATTGATTGTGTAGAGCCGAGCATCAGAGCAGAACTGGTGGAACAATTGCCTCAAATCTGTATGCATTTGAGCGCTCGTCAACACATCCTTCCCAATGGAGTGCCTCTTCATGTTCTTCCCATTTTGGAACAGTTCTTAACCGATACTAATAGTCATGTATGCATTCAATTCACATAAGCTTTGAGCCATTTTAACCAATCCCTCATTAATAGGTACGCAAAATGACACAAAACGCGTTTACAATGCTTTTGGAGCAAAATATCATTCAATTAAGTAAGTGTTGACTTATTTTATGTTAGTTTTGATTTAAATTAATGTTTATATGAATTGTGTTTAGGTTTCATCGAAGAACATATCTGTCCACTACTCATACAATTAACAGACTTTTCCAATTTGGATGACTATCGTATAGAAGCCGTTGGCGTAAGTCTTGATGTCTTGATTATAACCTACAAAATTGATTGTAAAACCAATAGGCGTTCACTCAATGACCCCTATGTTATGTTTATTAATTTTATTAGTTTTTACTATATATGCAACAATTGGTTGTTTCTCTGTTCTAATTATTTAATCTCATATCAAACGTTAATTTGAAAATTGAGTTTTTTCTTTGATTTTGTTTACAAAACATTTTGTGTTTAATTGAAAGGCAAATGACAAAAACGTTTGTTTTGGATGCGATCTAAACAAGTGATAAGTCGCCTATTTTTTCGTTCAAATTGAGAGATGCCTTCAATTACAGCGCAGAATAGATTACATGAACTGAATGAATAACAATTAGTGAAGTGGTCTTTCCATGCCTTGTAATGTCCTCTAATGTAATGCTTATGTTATGAAACGTATGCGGCATTAGTCTCGGTCTGTCGTGAAAGACATGGGTAGTGAGATGTGACAGTTGGCCACCATCTCACTACCTTGTCTTTGACGCCATGTCGAGCACTCTCACCCGCTCTCACTCGCTGTCCACTTATTTATATTTGTTTTGCTCTCATATCTAACATTTATTTCACTCGTTATCGCATCTCTGTTTCCATACGAAAGCTTTTGAGATATACTCTACTATACAATACTGTTGTAGACATTAATATCAACTCTTTCGCTGTCATTAATATCAAGTGCTTTAATCGTGTTTAACATTCAAACTGTTGTATATTTCAATTGTTTTGTCGTTTTGTTGCAATATTTGAATGATTGTTTTGGCGCCAAACGTATCTTAAAAAATTTGTCTTAACGTTGAAAATGCATGCTTTCATTGATTGAGTCATTTATTATGGATATTACGTTCACTTTCTTATGATTTGATTGAAGCCAAAAGAGGAGTGCATTTGCGTAGACATCAAAGCGGCTGATGAAATGTGCAGTAAATGTCTCATCCATATCACAGCCACCTTTGATGATCTCCGAGAGCGCACATGACATCGATAAAGACGTTTGAATGCAATTATGAAAATGTGTAGCGATTTGAGTGTATGTCTTGGGATGTTGTGTGTCGTGCGAGTTGGCGGTGATCTGTTGGTTATGAATCATATCACAGCCTACTTGACACGACTCACGGCACCACCACTTTCTCACCACCAGTCGCTCTCAACTCGTCGTGAAGTCACACATGTGTTGATCCATTCATTTGTGTTGTATTTATAGTCGTAATTAGAGTGAGAGAAAGAGGGAGTCTGTATGAGAGGAGCAATCCGTTGGGTAACTCACCTCTCGAAGTGGTTGTGATGTGTCGTACAATCGTTGAAAGTCGTATCACAGCCAGCTTTGATGAGTTCGGTTATGCCATACCAGTCCACACGACACACTCACACCCCCTCCTCACTCACTCCTGCCTGGAGTTTACATTGTTTTCTCAATTCATTAGTTTGTTATATCATTTTTATAATTAATCACTTAAACCGCACTTAACTCTAGCCGTTTATTAACATTAATTAACGCATTGATAGTGCCATCAAATGTTGCTTTAATGGGTTTTTTGTTTATAGATTTAATAACTAATTAGAAAATATAGTCCCAAACATATCCACCCGTCAAAGAGGCGGTGATCTGTTCCACCAATTATTCTTCATATCACAGCCGCTTTGATCAGTGGAAGTGTGCGAATGTTTGTTGTATTTTTGTAATACAATCATATTTTCCAATTGTTTTACACCAACTTTACATTACTTTTCTTTAACCAACAAATATTTTCTTTGTTTTAATTAATTTTATTTTTTATAAATTAAGAAATTACCAGTTTTTAAAAAACCAAGTTTTATGAGATTTAATAATATTTACAATTTATTAGATATAAAAATTGTATTTACTTTTTACTGCTTTCTAACGTAAAAATGAATTAAAGAGCCCTAAAAATATTGTATAATTAAATGAATTTATTGGTTATAAATCATGCGATAATTGTATATTACAGATGATGAGCAAATTGGTTAGGTTTTTGGGCAAAGAGTCAACCGAAAAGTTATTACTCCAAACATTTACACGCCTTTGTTTAGACGTCAGTTTTCACGTCCGTCGTGTCTGTGCCTCTAATTTCGGTGAATTCTGTACAGTTGTTGGCCAAGAGTTAACCGAAAATGTTTTGGTAATGTTGTCTATGAACCCATTTATTGGTATATTTTCTCATTTCAATCATTTGTCTCAAAAGTTGTCGCGTTTTCGAAGCCTATGTCAAGACAGCATTTGGGGCGTACGGAAGGGTTGCGCCGATTTCTTTGTCCCGGTGGCCATCACTGTCTCGAATCAAGTCCGCAAAGAAGTGTTATCCCCGTTATTTGTCAATTTACTCAATGATCAGTCCCGTTGGGTATAGTATTCCCTTTAGTTTAATATTCATTTTTAGTGATTGACATTCATTATAAAAATAGGTAAAAACAGCCGCTTTTCAATCGTTGGGTCCATTTATATCAACATTTGCTGATCCGAGCAAAACAGGTCTCTATTATTCAGATAATGGTATTGTTGTTATCGAAGACCACACCAGTAATGACAGTGGATTAGGAAGCAGTGAATCAAATGCTAATTCACCGACAGATATTGACGTCGACGAAGTGGAGGAGACTTTAAATGAAGAGTTCAGTCAACTGTCGACGACATCTCATAAAAAACAAATAGACACTGAAAACAACGAATTCAGTCAATTCCAGTTCTGGAGAGATCCCATCCCTGAACTCCAATTGGAGTTTGAAGTGAACGCACAGTCCCTCCAAATGAAGACACAAAGTGGAGACCCACTCAATGAAGACCATGTCATGAATGATACGTTAGAACACAATTGTGATTCCAATATCAACACTAAGAATAATGATAGCGATATGAGCCAAGAATTGTCTTCTAATTTAAGTGATGACCAAAAAAGTGTTACAAATTATATGACCGAAGATCCAACTGAAGGCAATTTTGAACTCAATTTTAGTCAATTAAATGCTAGAAGAAAATGCATGAATGAGTTCTACGACATGACTTCCGATAAGAGAAGTAACGCGTGGACTGCATATAACCCAATCTATCCATCGGCTGATATAATGGAGGTTCGGGAACCACTATTAGGTCTTTATTCTAATCTAAATATGGGAGAGTCGGACGAACTCATGTCGTTTGCATTTGGAGAGTCTATGCCTATGGGCTCCGGGTATATGTTCCCCTATAGAAGACCGCCGCCCTCTCAGGACATTATACCCAACGATCAAAAACAAATAGACACTGAAAACAACGAATTCAGTCAATTCCAGTTCTGGAGAGATCCCATCCCTGAACTCCAATTGGAGTTTGAAGTGAACGCACAGTCCCTCCAAATGAAGACACAAAGTGGAGACACACTCAATGAAGACCATGTCATGAATGATACGTTAGAACACAATTGTGATTCCAATACTAACACTAAGAACAATGATAGCGAGATGAGCCAAGAATTGTCTTCTAATTTAAGTGATGACCAAAAAAGTGTTACCAATTATATGACCGAAGATCCAAATGAAGGCAATTTTGAACTCAATTTTAGTCAATTGAATGCTAGAAGAAAATGCATGAATGAGTTCTATGACATGACTTCCGATAAGAGAAGTAGCGCGTGGACTGCATATAACCCAATCTACCCGTCGGCTGATATAATGGAGGTTCGGGAACCACTATTAGGTCTTTATTCGAATCTAAATATGGGAGAGTCGGACGAACTCATGTCGTTTGCATTTGGAGAGTCTATGCCTATGGGCTCCGGGTATATGTTCCCCTATAGAAGACCGCCGCCCTCTCAGGACATTATACCCAACGATCTGTTAGAGCACTACTTATCAATGACTAATCCAATTCACTACCAGACGGTTGATCCGGATCTATGCCATCATTGCGCCTATAGTTTGCCGGCCGTAACGCTAACTCTGGGCCGAAAGAACTGGTCGTGTTTGCGGGAGACGTACGAACTGTTAGCCGCGGAAATGCAATGGAAAGTGCGGTGGACTCTGGCCTCGAGTTTGCATCAAATGTCAAATATATTGGGTTCTGAATTGACGACAAGAGATCTGTTGCCCGTATTCTTGAGTTTCATGAAGGACTTGGACGAAGTGCGGTTCGGAATACTGCAGAATTTGGCGCCATTCCTCAAACTGTTGCTTCGACCACAACAACAGGGAATTTTGCCCAAAATATCGGAATTCCTCAAAATGGATAACACAAGGAATTGGAGGTTTCGTCAGACGTTAGCGCAACAAATCATTGAATTGGCAGACATTTACACCGCCTCTGAGATTATGGAATATTTATTACCCATTGGTTTAGTGCTTCTCAACGATAAGGGTATTTGACATGTATTTCAATTGCTTTAACACTCTATTAAACATAACTTTCTGTTTTGTTTATCTACTAAATAGTATCTGAAGTGAGATTAGCGGCCATTCGTTTAATATCTGTTTTGATAAAACAAATATTTGAGTCCTTCCTCTACGACCCGACCACTTATACGGACAACAGATTAGACATTATTTGGGAACTTAACTCACAATTAGCTGAGTCTAGCAAATGGATCCAAAGGCAGACGTATATATTGGTTTGCGATCAACTGATCCAAAACGAGTCCATTCCAACGGAACTGTTTATTGACAAAATGTTACAACATTTGCTCAACTTGTCTGATGATAACGTACCAAATATTAGATTAGTTTTAGCGCGAACTCTAGCCAACACTTTTTGGCCAATCGGTAAGCATTGATACAAATATTTGAACATTTTTTGTTTTGCTTTATTGTTGTTCTCAATACTGTAACTCTTTTTTCTCTTTTGTGTACATGTGTTGTGAACGGCATTTTCAGCTCAATTTAGATCTCATTTGAAAGTTCAACAAACTTTAGAAGACTTACAATCAGATAAGGATAAAGATGTGCGCCAACAGTCTAGCGCTGTCCACCACTTGTGCGACACTTTATATTCGGTACGCTTTTGACTATTAATACTCTTTTGTTGATCCGTCCGCTAATGGCATGTGATTTGTATTTCAGGACAATATATAAGGCAGTAATTGCTAGTCGAAGAACTGGTGATACGGAATGCGCTCTTTCGATGCAACGGATGCCATAAAATACTATTATTTAATTTATATGATAATTATTATAGTGAATGAAGAGCTCAATTAATTTAATGATTAGATAATGCTTTTAATTATTATTTATAAGAAAAGAGTTAATTTGTTATTATTTTTATATTAGTTTTAAATCATTCCTTAAATTTGTTTTTAATTTTTTAGTTAATTATTTAAATTGAAAAAATCAAACTGTGATACAAATCATGGATCGATTAATTTATTTACAGTCAATACCGACAGATCTCAACAAAACAATTAATAGGTGTTTAATGAAAAAGCCTTCCGTTATATGTTTAGTGAACAGAGATTTTGAGAAGTTTTTTTTGATAAATTTATATAACATTTTAAGGTCAGAAATATTGATTATTCGTTGAATTATTGTCGTATTGATAGTACTTATAGGAAATGGTCTGTGATATTGAGCACAAACTCTATTGAACATTGATTTTAATTTTATATAATTTGTTAATTTCTGAGTGTTTTTACAAATACAAGTCTTTCTAATGATTTGAGTTCAAGTTATTTATACAGAATATTCTGTATATTTGGATGAATATTCGTGCAAAATAAGTGCTCAAAGCGATAGGTTTTAATAAATTTCTAAATTTATTGTTTTTATAAATGAATAAATGATTTTTAATGTGTTTATTATAAATATATATTGTATTTGTAAATAAAAGTATAATTGAAGAAAAGTTTGCCAATTATTTTATAATTTTATTTCATACATTTGCTTCTTATGTATTGACGGCTTTTAGTTTGTATTCGTCTCTGATTTCTGTGCACATGGTTTTGATGCCATCAAACGTTTCCTCACCCGTCGGCACAATAAATCTGACCGGAAGTACGAAACCATAAACACCTGTATCTCTCAACTCGAAAGTATAGCTATATTTAATGCCGGCCACGCCGTGAGCCCAGTCTTCAGTTACAAATCACAATTAGAGACTACTTATTGATTGTTACAACTGATGCTTACCGTCAGCCCCACCGGCGGCCGCGTACAGAATCCTAGTACTCGATCCCACTTTATAATGAGTGCCGTATTTTTGCTGCAAAGTTTGCGCCGCTTTTTGTCCCATCGATAGTAAATCGTTGTATTGTTTTGGTAACTCTGATGTCCAACCCCTTCATTGTTATGCAAATTAAAACAAGTCATTCAATGATTGATTGGAAAAGAGTGTAATTATATCATAACACCGAAAGAGTGTTTATACATACCATGGCGTTAGTATGAATTGGGAATATGAATGCATTGCGATATACATCTAATTAAATGATGTGATATTAAGTTAATTAATCAATTATTATTATTCGGCAACATTTCACTTTACTTTAATGTTATCCTTCTTTGATAATATGTAGTCAGATATGGCTTTAGTTTCGGGTTCAGAAAAGGGGGCCTTTCCGTGATATGTCTCCGAACACGGGTAAGAACTACTTCCAGCGCTTCCCCAATGAAAGCCATAGTTTCTAAGTTTTAAACATATTTTTTATGTGATGTTAAGTTTCATTTGGATCTTACTATTACTTTACCTGTTTGGGTCGACTCCACGACAAAATAGACTATTGAATTAATTATAATTGACATTAAACTAAAATCAGTTCAACAATCATATAACAAGATATTACTTAAGATTATATTTACCCCCAAAACGACGGATTATTAGATCGGGTTTTTCTCCACATTCTGTCCGATGTTCGCGAGTCTATTCATTCAATTAATTAGTTTTATAGCGAGAATTTGTTAATTAAAGTATACAGTATTGTTGCAAAAATGTGAAATTTTCTACATTCTTGCAAGTATTAAAATTTATAAATAATTGTGAATATTAGACATACATTCATATCCATCGGGATTAGCGCTCGGCATTATGTAGAAGTCGTACACATTTAGCAAATTTTTTACTTCGATATCGGTTGATGTGATTAACTATTATTTTAAACAAACAAATAAATTTTTTATGTAAAAACTTATAAAACAAACCTTATTTGCAATGAAAAGAGCAGTGGACGGCGCTATCCATTCTCTCGCGTGAATCCCTATTAGAGACCATTAATTATTAATATTTATCAAATTAGTAGTTATAAAAGTGAAACCTTGTTGTCCACAAACCTGCGTCTATCCATATAATGGGTTTTTGAGTGCTATTACTTTTGGTGCCTATTTTGAAGAGTTTTAGTGGTCGACCCTCTGTTGTGGTGCCGATCACCTCAACAGCACTTATATTAGTATTAATACTATGCAAGTCATCTAAATATTGATAAATCTATAATCGATCCAAATTAATAACAATTAAACGTCAATTTAATTGAGTTTATGATAACCTCAGCGATTGAATGGTAGGCCTCGAAAAATGCACTCGAGTTTTGAACCCAGGATTTGGTTCTATACAAGAGTTGGTCATCGATTGTCTTCTTCTCCTGTTCTACCAATCTATCGGTTTTTATGTAAAAAAATAAATTTAAATATAAAATCATATAAAAAAATAAAATCAAGTCATACTCTCCGACATCTTTAATGATAACTTTATTTTTGATATTTTGTTGCGAAAGCTTTTCGCGAATGTTTTTATAAAAGTCCGGCGAAACCATGACATCGACGCTGGAGTTAAGGTCTTTTGGTTGTGTCCAAAAATCAAGCTTTTTATTTGGTATTAAGAGCTGAATGTCTGTGGAGAGGTCGGACAAGTAGTGTAACTGATCCACAGTGTTGGGCAACAATCGCAATACTTTGTAACCTTTGTATTGTTTTTCAACATTTTCTTCCACAGAATCAGATGAACACAAATCAATTGCCAGAAGAATGGCACTGATTATAGCTATAAAATTCATTGCTTTTTCGGTGAAATTAATCTAAATTTAAACAATAAATGGATATTTTTTCTCAAGAATTGTCGTTTTTATACTCTTCTCTAATGACTGACACATTATTCAGGATGTGTTGCGAATCCGGGACTGAATTTAAATTCAGTTTCTGTGCGAATATAATAGCGTTTAATGAATCGTTACATTAATTGTTAAGTCATTGGTTATATAGTTTACGACACCTCTGGGGACCGAAACACAGACCTATTGTTCCCCTTATTTCTATGCGACCACTGATTTATTTATGGGATATATTTTTTCAACGCTTTTAACACTACGACAAGTAATTCACAAAATTTATTTATTGCATAAATGTAAATCTGTTTTTCACCCAAAACGACAAAGTGTTTCAAATCGATGATCAAAAAAGCTAATAATATTCTGTTCGTGTTCTCCATTACTCGCAAACTTTTCTTAATTTACATTTAAAAAACAACAACCATTTCCTGGGATTTCCTTATTTTGTTATTTTGTTTCAAAAATTTATGGCCAAAAACACTATAATTTCTTTAAACGCTGATAAGAAAACTCAAAGAATATATTAAATTGTTTGCCTAATTGTAAACATAAATATATTGATCACTAGTTTATTTGCTGTATTATTCGACCGATAAGTTTATTTATTAAAACTTTTTTTGATATATTGATACAAATAATCAATCAATAAAATGATGAATATTTTCATTTCATTTGTCAATTACAGTGTTTAGACGACTTGTTTGAGTAATTTATGTTTAATTAATTGCAATTTTCTTTATAAAAAAATTTATTCATCCAATGTTTTCATTGATAACAATATTTACCATTGGATTCATATAATTATAAGTATTATATTTACGATTATATGTCAATACAATGCCATCACTTCTGGAGTAATAATTTTATCATTTGTTTGATTTCAAAAATTGCGACAAAAATTCTTGCCTTTAAAGCGTTTTATTATTGATTCCCAAGAAATGCATACAAAGAATGCGATATTTTTGTTATTAAATGTCATTTCTAATGATAATTGTCTCCAACGAAGACACATGAAGGGAAAGGGAGGGCAGAGAGGAGGGCAACAATACCTGCTCTCCAATTAAAACCAATCAATATTATATGGAATATAATCTTTGGTCCAAATAATCTCATTCTTAAACATATTAATTACAAACAAAATTATTATTTATAAGTTTATAATTGAAATCTAAAGCTAAACATTGATATGAATAACATTTTAACACAAATCACAATTTCAATTGAAGAAAAATCAAAATACATTTTTTTGCCGATAAAGTATTCGCTGACAAGTGTTTACCGGTTGTAAATACACATACAATTAAATAAATTATTATAAATTAATTAAATTTATCGCATATAAATTGTGCCCATAATTTGTACTCAAGTGCATGAAAACAGTTATCAGAGACTGTGTTTCAAAATATAGTCTTCTTCAGTATAAAAAATCAAAACTAAAGCTTTAGTTAAAGTTGTTATCAGTTTTGTTGATGGGTTTCATGGGTTTCAAGTTCAACACAACGGTATTGTAATTCTTCATATCATATTAAAGCCTCTTTTAAAGGCCTCTAAATCTCAATCAATATTTCAATTGATTAGCAATTTTTTCCTTCTGATCAATAAGTTTATGTGATTTATTAATAATAATAAATATTTTTAGTAAACAGATAATTGAATCAAAAATACATATAATTTATTTCTAATATAAAACAGATCACAAGAATTTGAAAAAGTGATACTATATTTGCATACTATATGTTTGTGAACACAAAATGTTTGGCCAAAAACTTTGTATTTGGAGTGAGAGTTATGGGAGAGAAGTGTTGGGAGGAATTGAAATGGAATACAGATAAATAGATAATCTGTTAATTAAAATTAAAGTGACGATCGGTTTCTTGAGTAATAATAAGATAATAAAAAACCCAATTTGTCTTTTATCGTGTGTCATATGTTTGGCAAATGAACATCTAATGTATATATCAAGTGAATGAGTTGTTCAACACATTTCCAATCAATACAAATACCAAAAGTCTTGAAGTAATCCTTGAAATGAATCGATATTTAAATAGTTTTCTCTAAATATATTGTTTCTCTACTTTTTTGCAAATATGTTTATAACTAACTTTATATTTAATTAATTAAGTTTACTATTGTTTCAAATGTATAGTTCACAAAGTTTTCTATACTGTATGTCTCAAAAGTGTCTAATGTATTGCAAGAATCGTCTTTAAATATCTATAAATTAAAAATAAATTGAAATCAAATGAAAGATAATAATAAATTTCTTTAAAAGACGTCGAAAAAACATTAACCGACACTCAAATCAAGTGCTCAGTTATCAGTTGATCATTAAATCATTCAATAAGCGATCGTTTATTAGAACTGCAATTATATATCCAACACTTTATATTAAATAAATATTAATAATATAACTAAAAAATCTGTTTAATAGAGAAGTGCTTTTCTTTCCTATCAATAATTTATTTCCTATAGAAATGTTTCGTTCAAATCATTTCAACACAAACTATGATTTTGTGTAATATTCTTGTGATTCTCACAAGAAATACAAGATATTTTAAGTGATAAATAAGACAAATGTAAGTATTTTAATGAGTTTTTACTATTTGATAAAATATCATAACATAGTTATTATAATTTATATTATTTGTAACCATTTATAAAAAATCTCAACTAATAATTGCGAAATTTATCAATAAATTAGATATTGTTTTATATGATTATTTGTGTTAAACATATCGATAATCTGAATATAGTTTCAAAAATTGCTTTTTTCAGCAAAAATGAAATCTATTGACGAAAATGATTTAAATCTCAAACTCAATGACATTAAGAATAGACACAATAATACGACAAAAGATTTTAGTGAAAAAAAGGATAATAATGAAACAAATGATGACAATTATAATCAAAATTGCATTAAAGTTACAATAAATAGTGATTCTGATTATGAGAGCACACAAATACCTGTTCCACCACCTGATGGTAAGTCACAATTCTTTGTTAAACATTTAAAAGTACTTTAAATTACTAACAATTACCATGAATTTGATTATAATTATTATAATTTTACATTTAAACAAATATTTGCTTGAATGATAGGTGGGTTCGGTTGGGTAATAGTTTTTGCCTCGTTTTTATGCAATTGTATAGTCGATGGTATTATATTCTCATTCGGGATATTGTTATTAGAAATATCCGAAGAATTTAATGAAACGAAAGCCAATACGGCTTGGATTGGCTCACTTCAGGGCGGCTTTTATTTATTATTAGGTTTGTGTCTCAAAACTTATGTGATGTATAATAACGATGATTATATTGGGTACGGATAGGCCCTATAGTGAGTGCGTTGGCCAATGTGTACGGGTGTAGGAGTACAGCCATATTTGGCAGTGTTGTGGCCGCCGCCGGATTTATACTATCGTATTTCGCTACTAATGTTACAACACTTTACTTTACTTTTGGACTCTTAGGGGGTATTGAATATTGAAATTTGCAAATAACAATCATTAAATCAATCAATCATTTATAGGCATAGGCTTTGGTTTTATATTTCTTCCGGCAGTAGTTATCGTCGGTTTTTACTTTGAAAAGCGTCGGGCATTTGCCACAGGAATGGCTGTTTGCGGTTCAGGTAGTCTACAGTATTGTCATCTTTTCACTCATATATAACTTATTATTCAAATAAATTATATTCACTTCAAAGATATTCTCATTCGGGATATTGTTATTAGAAATATCCGAAGAATTTAATGAAACGAAAGCCAATACGGCTTGGATTGGCTCACTTCAGGGCGGCTTTTATTTATTATTAGGTTTGTGTCTCAAAACTTAGGTGATGTATACTAACGATGATTATATTGGGTACGGATAGGCCCTATAGTGAGTGCTTTGGCCAATGTGTACGGGTGTAGGAGTACAGCCATATTTGGCAGTGTTGTGGCCGCCGCCGGATTTATACTATCGTATTTCGCCACTAATGTTACAACACTTTACTTTACTTTCGGACTCTTAGGGGGTATTGAATATTGAAATTTGCAAATAACAATCATTAACTCAATCAATCATTTATAGGCATAGGCTTTGGTTTTATATTTCTTCCGGCAGTAGTTATCGTCGGGTTTTACTTTGAAAAGCGTCGGGCATTTGCCACAGGAATGGCTGTTTGCGGTTCAGGTAGTCTACAGTATTGTCATCTTTTCACTCATATATAACTTATTATTCAAATAAATTATATTCACTTCAAAGCTCTTAAAATAGTGTTCCCATTGATATCTAGGTATCGGTGCTTTTGTGTTGGCACCGGTCACTCAACTTCTGGTCGAGTCCTACGGCTGGCGCGGATGTGTCCTTATATTGGCCGGAATTACACTGAATTGCGCGGTCTTTGGATCGCTGTTTAGACCCGTCGAAGAGATCACATTTAGAAATCAGTCGCAAAAGCCGTTATTATTCCGGATAAAAGAGGCGAGAGATGCGCTCTGGACTGAGTCTGACATCGAAGAAGTGGACGAAGAGTCGCCCACTGCTAGTCATAACAGCGCTCCTCCGCCTTACTCTGAGATCGTAGACATCGTTAACACAAACAATACAAACAATAACACAAACAACAATTCTTTAGCCAATTCTACGCCAGAATATGAAATACAAAGGGATTCGTTAAAACTGCCCGACGATGACAAACGTAGGCGACGGACGCGAAGCATATACGACGAGTCCAGACCAGAGCTTATATCGAGTGCACTAAGTCTTGTTGTGGTCCGCAGGATGTCTATCGCCACGAGTCAGACATTAGATAAAAGTGCGAACCGATTGTCTTCAATCAAATCAATCAATGAGTCAAAGGAGAAATCGTCGCCAGAATTATCCCAAGAATTGTCTCAATCCAAGAAATCCATCGCCTCTTCAAAGCATTCAAACGCGTCAAACGAGTCGTCGAAAACATGGTTCGCGTCTTTGAAGGAAACGTTTGATTTGAGACTTCTCTCGAGTCCATCGTTTCTATTGCTGTCTTTAAGTGGATTTCTTTGTTTGACTGGATTTTTCATTCCCTTCATGTATATCGCAGATCGCGCTAAGCTTTTGGGTATATTACCTAATATTGAACACTATTTATAAATAAGCTAAACATTCAAAGCATATCTTATCTAACAATTCAAAAAATATTTGATTGAAAAGGCTATACACCAGAAAAAAGCGCTTTCCTGTTATCAGTGATCGGAATAACCAATACTATCGGTCGTGTCTTCTGTGGATGGGTTTCCGACAGACCCAAAGTCAATGCTTTGCTGATCAATAACGTGGCCCTCACTATAGGCGGTGTGGCAACCATTCTCTCGCCCATCATTTGCAACACTTACATAACACTTATCATATACTCCGCTATTTTTGGATTTGCAATCGGTATACAATTCAGTCATACATTATAATATTGATAATCCATTTAAACCATGTTTACTAAACATAATTATACTTTATTTTTGCTAATTGATAGCCTGTTTCGCAACTCTTCGTTCGGTAATAACCGTCGAGTTGTTAGGTTTGGAGAGACTGACCAACGCTTTTGGCCTTTTATTGATGTTTCAGGGAATAGCGGTCACAATAGGCTCACCGATCGGTGGTATGATTTTTATTGATATACATTCTCTCGTATTCACAAATCTAATGATTGAATGATTTGAATTATAGGCTGGTTTTTCGACATAACCGGCTCTTACGACAACTCGTTTTATTTGTCGGGCTCTGCGATCGCTTTATCGGGTATTATGTGTTTCCCGTTGTCTGCAATCTCAAAGTGGGAGAAAGGAAAGCCCGGTTTCGGGGCTATTAATTAAGTTATTCTCACAAAACAAAAGTACAATCATTTTATTAACACTTTTTCGAAAAATATATATAAATGGTCACCGAATTTGTGAATTTAGTTATTAAAGCATTTAAATCCTGTTTTTATTATTTAAATTTTATTTTACGACACAATTTTCAGTCGATTTATATAAACACTCTTTTATTATGTAATTATAATTAATAATTAAATTTTTATTTAAATCTATTTAAAGTTATTGTTTTTGTGAACCGATTATTTGTGAAGTAAATCTTCGGTCGAGAAGAAAGGATTTTCAACAGAAGTCAGTTTCGATGACTTGTTTTGATTCTCAATTTCCTTCTCTTTGAGATGATGTCGAGTGAAGACTGGGTTTTCAAAAGTGACCGCCTCTTCGGCCGGTTGTGTCTCGTATTTGACAGAACTGGTGCTCATCTGTAGAGGACTGTTGGGATCCAACTCGTGGTGAGGAGTGGTTCCCATTTGCAGTTCCACTCCATCGTCGCCCTCAACGCCACGGAAACGCGCGAACGCGAAGTGAATGTCAATTCTGGGCAATAATCATAAATTGTGACAATTATTAAATAAATTGTTAAATAAATGGATACAGTAATAATTTCCAAACAATGCTTGCCTTTTCTTTTTGATGTAATAACTGACAGAAACTGCGGTTCCGATCAAAATAAAAATCAAGAATATAAAGAAGACCCAAATGCCGGCACTACTAGAACCCCATTCAGTGCTCGATTCACTATCCATGGATCCAATACTGTATATTCCGGGACCTAAATAAGTATCTGTCTGTGTATTAGTGTTATATTAAACACGTATTCAATAGTATGGGTCATACATACCGTCATTAAAATACTGTTTAATGGCGTTAACCATTCGATGAGCTGATCCTTTGTCTCCCACATCGATAGCAATGAATTGAAATCGTTTTGATTTTAATTTATGTAAATATGATCTGACGGTCAGATATTCTTTGCGAAATAGAAATGCTGACTCATCTGTAGAGGACTGTTGGGATCCAACTCGTGGTGAGGAGTGGTTCCCATTTGCAGTTCCACTCCATCGTCGCCCTCAACGCCACGGAAACGCGCGAACGCGAAGTGAATGTCAATTCTGGGCATTAATGATAAATTGTGACAATTATTGTTAAATAAATTGTTAATAATTTCCAAACAATGATTGCCTTCTCTTTTTGATGTAATAACTGACAGAAACTGCAGTTCCGATCAAAATAAAAATCAAGAATATAAAGAAGACCCAAATGCCGGCACTACTGGAACCCCATTCAGTGCTCGATTCACTATCCATGGATCCAATGCTGTATATTCCGGGACCTAAATAAGTATCTGTCTGTGTATTAGTGTTATATTAAACACGTATTCAATAGTATGGGTCATACATACCGTCATTAAAATACTGTTTAATTCGCAATTGGTAAGCTACTCGACTAGGAAACAGAGGGTGTAGCTATCGTTACTTAACTTTAGCAAAACTAAAATTAAATACATTTATACTAGACTGCCAGTCTATAAGAAACGCTTTATCTTTACGACTAGTAATGCCTTGTATTAAATCTAAATTGAAATCGTTTTTAAATGTAAAGGTAAGCATTGAACCACATATTGGGCAACAGTGTCCGATCGGTTTGATTGGATCCGAGCACTCAAGCGCTGGACAGCCGTATTGTGACACATATTTGCAAACTTTGTCTATAATATACGGCTCTTCGTTACCGCAAACGCACCCCTTCTGGTCGCTGCAAATCATATTGTCGTCGATTACGAAATTATTATTCAAGCCGTTAATAGTAAACAACTGTTTCCCGACATCACTGGCTATAAAGTTGTTAAAGTCTTGTTTTTCAAACCATTTTCCCCATATTTTCAACGCTTTAACTGTTATTTTGTTGGTTAAGTCTATTTTGATTTTGAATGAAGTATTGACACTAAAAGAGACCAAATCATAAGCGCAGGGAATTCTTTCCATATGTGGTATTGGGTTCTGGTCTTCAGAACTTCCCATAAAAGTCACTTCATTTATCAATTGGTTAGAAGAGATGACATCAACGGTTTGGTTCCAGTTGTGCGGATCAAACCATTCGTTATTCTCGTTAACAACAAATTTAATATCTAATTCAAAGCAGCATTTAATAAAAAATATTTGAATAGTAAAATAAAATGTAATAAAATTAATGCAAACCCTTTCCGTTGCACTCGTTTTCAACATTATTCTGTACTAAACTAATGGAGGCGTTATCTCCAAACACTATTTGACCATTTTTTGGTAAAATCTATACAAAAATATTCTCATTTTTAGAAATTAAAATTTAATATTAAAATTGAATTTACGATTTGTTTGGCTTTGATTTGTTTGTCCAAATAAATGAGAGTATTTTCAGCAAAAATGATGCGATCATTACTACACGGAATTCTTCTTTGGTTCCAATTCTTGGGATTCTTGTAATCCAAGTTTGAGTTCCATGTCTTGACATTACATTTATATACATTCACTAAACTTATTGTAATTACTACAAAAAGAATTAACATGTTTTTAATAATCATGTAAATAAACATAATTGGTTTTAAATCAACATAAACCTAAACAGTATTTAGGACTAAAAATAACACAATGTATAAAAAGTTAATGCGGTATAAGTTATACGGTATAACTTATACCGCATAACAAATTGAAATGTGATATAAATGTTACGACAAAAAATAGATTTATGGAAAATATCAAAATTGTCACAAAAAACCATAAATGAAATTAATATCTTTTCTGACAAACAGTTCATTCAATGGTATTGAAGCAGTAAATTGTTTGTCGCAAACAATTTTAGTCGAAAATAAACATGAAATGCATTATGAAATTAAACACAATGAAAATAATTAATTACATGAGTGCTATAATTCTGATATAAAATCTCTAAATTCAATGTTTCTAATGGTCTTTATTTGATTGATTAACACATTTTTATTAAATAATAAATAAATATTTTATTATTTATTAGACTTCTTTCGCCAATTCCTTCGCGAATGCAATGAAAGCAACAGTGGTTTCTTCGCACACGGGTCTGATGTGTGACTTCGGGAGTGCGAAACCATAACTTCCTGTGTCTCTCAACTCCACGGTATAGGAATATTTTATGTGAGCGCTTCCATACGCCCAGTCTATCATTAAATTATAATGTTATCATTTTAACATATATTTTTAGACAATATCTGACCATCTGCTCCACCGGCGGCCGCATCTGTTGTATTCAAGAGCGATATAAGAGTGAAAATATATTAAATATATAATATTTGCTAATATATAAAACAAATTGATATGACATACAAAGCACGTTAGTTGACGTCCCAGCGGTGTATTTAGTGCCGTAAACGCTGGCCAATGCAGTGGTCGCTACTTTAGCCAAACGAGCCTGATAATAATGTAAATTGTTGTATTTTATTTTATTTACTTAATTTATAAATTACACAAACTTACCAAATGTTTGTCATCGGGAGTCAATGTATTTGTCCAACCCTT